CCAGCAGAAACAGCTCCAGCGCCGTCAGCTCCAACTCCTGCAGCACCACTAGCTCCAGCACGAGCAGCACCTCCAGCAGGAACAGCTCCAGTAGCGCCGGCTCCACCTCCAGCAGAACCACCAGCTCCAGCGACTCCAGTACCTCCAGCAGCAGCAGCTCCGCCCTGACGCCTCCATCGGCTAGCAAACCACTCTTGTAGCTGCTGTGGAGAGAGAGGCTCCCGCCGAGACGAGGCCCCTGCAGGACCTCCAGTAGACTGAGCACCCCCCGTCTCAACAACCGCAGGCTCGACACCCCCAGGCTCAGCACCCCCAGACTCCACACGCCCAGGCTCAGCACCCCCAGGCGCCGAACCCCCAGGCTCAGCACCCCCAGACCCAAAACGCTCAGGCTCAGCACCCCCAGGCTCCGCACACTCAAGCTCAGCACCCCCAAGCGCAGCACCCCCAGACCCAGCACCCCCAGGCTCCGCACGCGCAGGCTCAGCACCCCCAGCAGCACCAGAGTCATCCGCTACCTCGACAGGCTCGACGACGTCTACCTGAGACACACCTGAGGGGGGAGGGGGTCTACCGCGGGAGGACCTGGTGCAAGGAAGAGCGGCAAGGGGGGGGGGGAGGGGCAGCGCGGTAGGGGAAGAGACGGTAAAAGGGAACCGACTCGTTGAACGTGACGTCCTGAAAGGGCAGGACTCGGCGCGAGGTGGGGTGGTAAAACTGCCAGCCAGGCGCGTCAAGGACAAAGCCAAGGAAGACGCAGGGAACAGCATGGGCGGAGAGCTTGTCCGCGATGGTATTGCGGACAAAGGCACGAGAACCCCAGACCCGAAACACCGACGCATCGCTAACCTTCTCCGTCCACCGCAGGGTGGGCGAGGTCTCCGACAAGGATACACGGGGCCAGAGGTTGAGCTGATGCGCAGCGTAGCGGACCGCAAATGGGCATTGAAAATGGGGGGCAGCCGAATGGACCATGGAGGTACAAGCGACCTCCATGACCAAAACAATGCGGCACGCAGCAAACCCATTTTGTTGCGGAGAGGCCGGAAGCGTGAACGTCTGGTGAATGCCCTCCCCACGACAGAAACTCTGCAGCAGGTCAGAGGAAAACTCTCCACCTCTGTGAGAGTGCAGACGCAGGACTGGAAACTCCGTCCCGAACCGCTCGCGGAGCTGGAGACGTGCAGCGTGGATCCAAGGGATCAAAACATCAGGGACCTCACCCTTGGTGCGCAAGGGGAAGACCGTGGTGTAGCGCGAGTAGTCGTCAACAACCAGCAGGAAGTACTGCTCGCGGTCCTGCCCACGGACGATGGCTTGGCCCCACACGTCCATGTGCAGGGTCTGCAAGGGAGCAGTCGTCGGGGGGAACGAGGAAGAGTGAGGAGCAGCGCGCTGCCGCCCCTTGACGCAGGGATGGTAGGGAGGGGCAGGGGAGGGTGGGAGAGGAGGCAGAGTCTCCGGAAGGCCAGAGACCAGGAGACGACGATGCATGGCCCAAAGGCGCTGCACCGAGGGGTGACCAAGATGGTGGTGCCAAAGAAGGATCCGGTGCGACAGAGACCGTCAGGAGCAGGGGGCAGCTAACTGACCAGACGCGAACGCAGATGCAGCTACCTGGGGGGGCGCAGTAGTCAGTGTGTACAGGCTCGAGCCAGGCGCACGGGTGAACGTGGACAGGTGTCGACCAGTCCGGGAGCAAGCGCAGTGGGTCACCCGCTGACCTCCAGGAGTGAACTGGTCAACCCACACATCCTGGAGATCAGCGCCAATCACCAAGTTCGTAGAGAACGAGGCGAGGTGGAGACCTGAAAGTGAGCCAGACGGGACCGCGTGACACGGTAGAACCGTGGAAGAGTGCGCAAGGACTGGGCCCCCAGAGGGGTGCGCCAGGGAGATTGCAAATGGCCGAATGAGCGGCGTGAGAGTGGTGCTGTCGCAAAAGAAGGAGCGGGAAGCACCTGAGTCAAGGGTGAAGGTGTGGAAGGCCTCCGCAGGCGCAGTACCTGAGAGAGCAAACTCACCAGTACTTGGAGCAGCTGACTCACTAGCACCTGGAGCAGAAGACTCACTAGCAACTAGAGCAGCAGCCCCAATGCCCGGGTCGGGCGGAACACACAGGTAACAGTCACCCTCAGCACTAATAGTCACTAATAGGATCACATCATAGTCAAGAGCAAAGACATCAACACCAGACCTAAGCAGATCACCCCAGCGAGGGAGCTCAGTGGAGTCAGGAAACTGGGCGCGCTAGGCGTCAGTCAGGTGACCGAAACAGCGCTGCGTCGCGTGTGGCAGCCCGCACGTCTTCCCAATGTGGTCGCCGGTGCGGAGAACGTAACTGCAGGGACCAGCACCCCCAGACCTCCCACGCCCAACGTACCTCTCACGAAGCTACTGGGGTGACATAGTCTCATGGGAGCGCGGCTGCTACTGTCGCTGACCACCGCCAAAACCTCCACGCTGCGCGGCTCCACCCCGGCCACCACCACTGCCGCCGCCACCTCCACCACCACTGCCGCTGCCTCCAGCACCTCCACCGCCGCCGCCGACGCCCCCACTCCCGCCACCACCCCCAACTCCACCCCCACCCCCTCCGCCTCCTTCACCGCCACCACCACCGCCCCCGCTGCACCCGCTACCACCCTTGCCCTCCTTGCCCTTGCCGCCGCCCTTGCCACTGCTGCGCCTCCCACTAGGAGCAGTCGCAGCCCCAACCTCCTCGGTGCCAACGAGGTCGACAGTAGAAGCAGAGGCAATAGAGGGCAAAAGGGGAACAGGGGAACACCCCTCAAAGAAAGGGGCGCGAGGGTCGCCACGAGAAGCTCCTACAGCAACTATGCTAGTCTCAGCTGCTAGGAGTTGCTTCTCGAGGAGGTCGACAGTGAGTGTGGTGGGGCAAACAGAGAGGAAGTGGTCCATGACTGAGCAAAGAGAGTCAGGGAGACGGGTGATGAGGTAGTAGAGGGTGATGTACATGGGGGGTCGGGGGTTGGCGGCGCAAAACTCAGGGGGAAGCGCAGCGTGGTAGCGGGTGTCACTAGTGCGGAGGTGAGTGATGAGGTCGGCGACTGTGGGAAAGGTAGCTAGGTTAGGGAACAAGTACGGCAGCATGAGGCGGCTAAGAGCAGCAGTGGCAGGGGAAGAGTAGCGCGTGACTACCGCATCATATAAAGACTTAGCAGTCTTGTACTGGCCAAAGTGCGCGCGCTCAGCAGACGGCAGATGAATACGAACAACAAGGGGGGCAACAACGTCACAAGTAGTCCGCTATGAGGAACTGTACTGTCAGCATCGGCAGCAGGTGCAACAGAGACACCGGACGTGTGGTCAAACAGTGAGACTCCGTCCCTACAGTCGCATTGAAGACAGAGCTGTAGATCATCGACCCACACTTCAAAATCTACCGCACGACCCTCAGCATCAAAGGTGAGAACTTGAGGGCTAGCCATGGCGATAGTAGCAACAGTATCAGCAGAGGCAGTAGTAGCAGAAGCAACGGGGCTCAGTATGGCAAGGCGGCGCGGCTCGGCAGAGCGGAGCGGCTCAGCAGATCGGTGCGGCTCGGCTTGGCTGGGCGGCACGGCTCGGCTGTGCGGCTCGGCTTAGCAGGGCGGCGCGGCTCAGATGCGTGCTTGTCGGGCAGGAGCGCGGGCAGCGCGACTAGGGGAGGTGCTCACCAGGGACGGGTAGGGCAAGCGCTTGACGGGCGGGCAGAGCAGGGCCGCGACGGCGGATGTAGGTAGGGCCGCGACGGCTGCTGCAGGCAGGGCCGCAAAGGCGGCAGGGCAGGGCCGCGACAACAGCTGCAGGAAGGGCCGCGACAGCGGCTGCAGGGCAGGGCCGCGACAGCGGCTGCAGGGCAGGGCCGCGACTGCGGCAGGACAGGGCCGCGACGGCGGCTGGAGGGCAGGGCCGCGACTGCGGCAGGGCAGGGCCGTGAAGGCGGTAGGCAGGGCCGCGACGGTGGCCGCAAGGCAGGGCCGCGACAGTGGGACGGCAGGGCCGCGACGGCGGCAGGCAGGGCCGCGACGGCGGCTGTAGGGCAGGGCCGCGACAGCGGCAGGGCAGGGCCGCGACGGCTTCACGCAGGGCTGCGACGGCAGGGCAGGCGCAAGGGGCGCAGGTGAGGCAGACGCGAGGCGCGCGACAGGGCAGGCAGGCACGGGAGCGCGCTTCGGGCAGGGAAGGAAAATTTTATATTTTAGTGCTGGGCCCTAAGAAAAACGGTCCCACTAGGGAACATGCTCTATATCATGTGAGAATAGTACGAGTTAATGGAATGGACTAGGAAAGAGGTGGGTACAACTAGTAAACCTAAAAGTGTTGTATCCCATATTGTCTACCCCGCTACAGCCTACACAGACTATAGCACATAAGTTTGACAGGTTCTCTTCGGGACGCTTCGCGACCCTCAGAACATTCGCGTATCACCTGAGTTACTGACATTGTGTCAAGACTATATATAGCCTCGTGTTGTACCCAGATGGATCATCCAGTACATTTCCCATTTTCTGAACTCGATCCTATCAATCCTCACACTTGGTAGTCAGAGCTCGTTTGCACGCTAAGTTTTTCGACCGCTAAAGATCAGTCTTAAAACCCGCGTCTCATATTTACAACGGTATTACACCTGGTTGGGCAAAGGCACCTGTGATTGGGTAACGAGGGGCGAGTTTGTGACGAGCAGTTTGGAAAAGAGAAGCGAAGCCCCTCTTCGTCAAGGCAAACGCCAAACAAACCTCCCAGGCATGGAACACACCACACCTAGAAAACAGGTTTGGCAGAATCGCAATTGCGTGCGACGAGCCAAAACAACACACAGTCGCCCACTTTCACCCCCAACCCCCAAACAGTCGCATGGAGAGCAGAGCACAACCACCTAGTACCTCATATTTTAGACCAACAGATAGCAGGCGCAGGGAAAGTCTAGTAACCCTAGTGCCTCCTTGTCTCACGCAAATACAGCATTTTCCCCGTCGTCAGCCGTTCCGCGTCCGATGGTTCGTGTACAAACGTGCTGCCCTGTCCTGCCTTCTACCAGCTGTTCACATCAAGACCTATTGCGACTTACACTGATCGAAATTCCTTGCGACTTACCTGCTGGCTCGACATCGAATAGCGTATGACCAGTTCGCCATTTGCCTTCTAGTACTTGCTCCTTCGCGTGGCCGAATACGACCTCGTTCTGATCGCCGAGGTGCGTGCGACGCCTCTGTCGCGCACTGTGTCGCCCGCTGCGTCGCCCACTGATTCCTAGAAATTGCGAGAGTTCTCGAAACACCTCTGTATCTTGACTTGGCCTCACTCTCCCCTCTCTTCCTCCCCCCCAAACCCGTTTCCCCTCCCCTCCCTCCCCACCCCACCCCACTCCGCTCCGCCCTGCTTCCCCATCGACCAGTCGCACCTAAGCTCTCACAATCTTCAGTCTGCCCTCCGTCTCACTGCGCCCGAAGCAAGCACCTTTCCACAACCACACCCATTCTCTCTCCCCTTTCTCCCCACTCTCCCCCCTCTCCCCACTCCCCTCTCCCCTCTCCCTCCCCCCCTCCCCTCCGCCCTCGCCCTCCCCCTACTCCCCTCTCCCCCCTCCCCGCCCCTCTCCCTCTCCTCTCGCCCCTCTCTCCCCCTCCCCAGGGCAGCATGGCAGCGCGGCTGGTGGCGTTGTGCGGAATGGAGGCGCTAGCAGTGGCGGCGGGGTTCTTGCTCAAGGTCCTTTGGCTCACAGACGCGCCCGTGCACGCCGCTCCCTTCTCCTCGCTCTTCTCCCTCCCCGCCCACCCCAAGATCTCCAAACCGGACCTTCGGTGAGTGACGGGTGGGGGGGAAGTGGGGAGAAGGAGGAGAGAGAGAGGGGGAGGGGAGGGATGATTTGGCTGGGTGGGCCTTGGGATGGGCCTGGGTTTTTTTGCTACCCCGAGCCTTTCACTCTGCATTCATTCATCCCTCCTCCGTCCCTCTCAACCTCTCTCTCCCTGTCACAAACCCCCCGCCTTTCCGTTCCTGTCACAATAACTCTCTGTCTGTCTACCACAAGCCATTCTTTCTCCCTTGTCTTCCTCTAACCCGCTCCTTTCCTTCCCTCGTCCCCCATCCCTCTGACGCATGCGTAGCATCAGGTGGGCAGTGGAGGACGTGTCGCCTGAGTGTGTGGCAGGGCCGCTGCTGCGGTCCCCACCACATGGCTTCAAGTACAAAGCAGTAAGGCCCTGGGGAGGGGACTGATGGCATGCATGCATGCAGGACAGTAGGCTGCTTCCGATGCTGTGCACAGAGATTGCCCATTTATACCGAGTTAGCGTTGCACTCACCCCATGCTCTTTTCTTTCATCTGTTCGTGCGCCGCTGCTTTCCTCTCCTCCTTAGCTCCTCCTTCCTCCCTCCCTCCCCACTCCTCCTCTGCCCTATTCAGGCGTCAGTGGGGGACTGTGGGGCGGCGACATGAGTGGGAGGCAGCGCCGCAAGCGGGGTGTTCCGCATGCCCGTCAGACTGCTTGTGTCCACTCGAGCCAGCACGTGGGATGGATGGGTGGGTGTGACGCAGGGCGCAGGGCAAGGGATGGTTGGGGCAGTGCAGGGCAGGGCAGGGCAGAGCACTGGGTGATGGGCGCAGCATGGGGAAAAATTTGTGTCCAATACAAGCAATTTTTTATTTTCAGTACCTGGATCCGCGTCTGATCCCCCATGCTTTTGTTGCGCGGAATGGCAGCACGTTCCACCCTCCTGCCTTTCACGTGCTTCCGTCTCTCCTTGCAACCACCACCACCCTCCCCTGCTCGCGCCCAACCTTTCCTGCCCTTTCGCGCCCGTCATGCGACTTGTGAGTCGATTGCCCAATCTTACCCTTCCCCTTACGCGCCCATCACGTGCGGGACCCGTGTTGGATGGCGGACGAGCTGGCAGCGTGTCTGCACTTACTGCATCCCTCACCAGCCGTGGCGCGCCTGCTTGCAGATGAGGATATTCCACGCGTGCAGCGCTCCACTGCTGCTTTCCTTGAGGTGCCCCACTTTCTTCCCGCCCTACCTTCCCTGCACTACACGCATTGACTTCTCCTACCTACCTGCCTAACCACCTGCTGAGGTTACAAACACACTCTTCTTCTCATCGATCCTTCTTGCCTCTTCCCACTTCCGTCCCCCTTTCCTCCTGTCCCCACCCCATCCCTACCCAGTCCCCACCCCCATCTCCAATCCCCCAACCCCACCCTCATTTCCACCCACATCCCCAACCCCCCATCCCCATCCCCACCCCACAGCACACCAGAACACCCCTCTGGACTCCTGCGCCGGCTGTCCCGCCAACATCTCCCAGATCATCCCGCCCTTCTCCCACCCTCCCACTCTCCTCCTCCCGCCCGGAGCCGTCCTACCTTCTCCATCTGCCCTCCCTTCCCATCTTGCGTGCCAACCTCCCTTCCTTCCATGACCCCTACCCTCCTTGTCCCCCCTTACTACCATGTTTCTCATCCCTGGAGCCTTCCTTCCTCCCGTCACCCCCTCCCTTAGTTCCAGCTACAAGCAGGACTAAGCTAGTCCCCGGCGAGCCTGGCGGCATGCAGCAGATGCACGGCCAGACGCACGAAGGCGACGCCGCCGCATGAGGAAAGTTGTACTTCGTATTTTTTAGATAATATACAAGTGTATACAATCAATAGGCTCTTTACGTCAGTGCCGTGCTCAATTGCTACTTCAAAGATGCATTGAAGCAATCTGAGTGTCAATTTCAATATACTATTGAAAGACAAGAGACTATGAGAGTTCAGCAAGCTTACTTTGCCAACAACTGAGATCAAATCTACACATTAGTCACAAAATTAGGGTTCAACCTGTTTGTGGCGCCATGCTGGAACAAGCACGTCAACAGATGGGGCAATAGGGGAAGTAGGGGGGAGACAAGTGGAGAAAGCGAGGTGAGGCTTGGGAGGAAAGCGAGGTGAGGCAAGGGAGGAAAGCGAGGTGAGGCATGGGAGGAAAGGGAGGTGATAGCAGAGGGGGAAGGGAGGTGATAGCAGAGGGGGAAGGGATGTGATAGCAGAGGGGGAAGGGAGGTGATAGCAGAGGGGGAAGGGAGGTGATAGCAGAGGGGGAAGGGAGGTGATAGCAGAGGGGGAAGGGAGGTGATAGCAGAGGGGGAAGGGAGGTGATAGCAGAGGGGGAAGGGAGGTGATAGCAGAGGGGGAAGGGAGGTGATAGCAGAGGGGGAAGGGAGGTGATAGCAGAAGGGGCAGCAAAGGGGGATGCTGGGAAGGGGGATGGGGGAAAGGGAAAGGGGGATGCTGGGAAGGGACGGGGGATGGGGAAAAGGGAAAGGGGGATGCTGGGACGGGAAGGGGGATGGGGGAAATGGAAAGGGGGATGCTGTTGTGGGGAGGGGAATGGAGGAAAGAGAAAGGGGGATGAGGGGAAGGGCATGGGAGATGGGGGTAAGGAAAAGGGGATGTGGCAGATGTGCGCCTGTTGAGACTGAACCCCTTCCCACCCACAGGGTGTGCCCTCCCGTCCCCTCTGCTCTCGACGCCCCTCCTCTCGTCCCCTCCCGTTCCGACCCCTCCTCTCTCGTCGCGTCCCCTCCTCTCTCGTCGCGTCCCCTCCTCTCTCGTCGCGTCCCCTCCTCTCTCGTCGCGTCCCCTCCTCTCTCGTCGCGTCCCCTCCTCTCTCGTCGCGTCCCCTCCTCTCTCGTCGCGTCCCCTCCTCTCTCGTCGCGTCCCCTCCTCTCTCGTCGCGTCCCCTCCTCTCTCGTCGCATCCCCTCCTCTCTCGTCGCGTCCCCTCCTCTCTCGTCGCATCCCCTCCTCTCTCGTCGCGTCCCCTCCTCTCTCGTCGCATCCCCTCCTCTCTCGTCGCGGCCTCTCCCATCCCGTCTAGTCTCGGCGCGACTCTTCCCGTCCGCGACGGCGACGGCGACGGCGGCGGCGATGGCGCTCGCCTTGCTGCCTTCCTCTCCGCTTCCGCCGATGCCGCTACGCTACCGCTTCCGCCGATGCCGCTACGCTACCGCTTCCGCCGACGCCTCTCTCTCTCTCCGCTTTCGCCGATGTCGCTCCGCTACCGGTTCCGCTCTCATTGTGCTTGCCTAACATCCCTTCCATCCCATAGCCCCTACCTTCCTCCCCATCTCCCGTCCCTCCCTTCCAATCCCAGCGCGTCCCTTCCCGTCCGGTCACGTCTTCCCGTGTTCTTCATTCCGCCTTTTATCGTCCCGTTGTGTGCACGCGAATATGCTATTGCTATGCTCTTTATAAACCATATTCTACTATGGTGCCGCTTTCTTCTCGTGCTTTTCGCGCAGCAATTTGCAGTACGATGTACCCAGTCAATCGCCCGTCCGTACGAACGCATATCTGCCTGAAATGATACCCCATACGACTGAAGGTGGAACGTAAGAGGCATTGCATCTAAGGCCTGCATAAGAAAAGCCATGAACAAAATATAGCCTAAACTAAGTCGCTGAAAAAAGACTAGGCCTGGACTAGGTAGTGGTTGAGTGTAGGTCTCTCTCCTCTCCAGGTGCAGGGGGAATGATTCGGAGTCTCATATTTTTCAGCTGTGGTAATACGCTTGCTTCTCTGTGTTTACCTTCGTCGCACAAGGTGGTGTGTTTTCGCGCAAATACGTTGGTTAGTCGTGCATCTGCCTTGCCTAACCTGATGGGGCTGCAACCAATCACAGGGGCTCCCAACCAAACCCAACACAGTGGCGACTGATTTTGTGGTTACCCGGTTTAGACCGTATTACTCTTGGTTGGAAGGAAGAAATATGAGACGCGGGTTTTAAAAAACCGCGGGGGCGACGAATGTTAAACACCGATTTCGGGTACGTAAAACCAGTTCCGTCCCCTTCGATTTCGGTTTTCATACGCGATGTAAGGAATGGAGGGCGCGGGCGACAATTTCGTAAATGAAGTCGCAACCTTTTGCACGGAGATGGACTAGACGAGGGCGGCGCTCCAACGAATAGAGGCGCTCCTCGCGAACTAGTCGGCAGCCGCCACGGCAGCATCGAACGCAACAGTGAATGCAGGGGCAACGGAAGCAGCAGCAGCGATGACATCGACATTTTACGCAGCAGTGGTGGCACCCGCTTCGCCGAGCCTCGAAGCGCTCGATCCGAGCGCGAAGGGGTCAGACGTTCGACGATTCGTGGCTACAATCGAAAATTAATTCGAGGCCATTGGTCGTACAACCCCGACAAATGACACAGCAAGGATTCAACTCGCAGCGGCCCTGTTGCGAGGCCCAGCACTCAAATAGGTGTATCATAGTGACGTGGTCCGAGGCGAGGGATCGTGGTCGCAGTTTCGGGCAAATTTAGTAGCGCGTTTCGACCCGATTAATTTGAGCTACATGGCGCGGCAGCATACTCATCGGCACAAACAATACGACAATGTAGCTCAGTACACGCAGTAGATGGAGCAGTTATTTAACCGAATTCTAGACCTGACCGAAGGGGAAAAACAGCGGGCGTACACTAAGGGACTGAAAATGGAGATACGATGACAGGAGATCACCGCGAACTACAGTAGCTACCGCGACATGGTGTGTGCAGCAAAGAGATACGATGCGCTGATGCGTGGTCAACCCGATACACGACGCTGCGGGCCAAACATGACTTTCGGCACGGAGCGATCGACATCCCCCACGATTGCCGTGTCAGAACATTATAGCTTATACATTTGTGTAGGCTGTAGTGGGGTAGCCCATAAGGGGTACAACCCAATTAGGGTTAGTTCATGTACCCAACTGTTTCATAGTTCATCCATTCCATTCTCACTTATCGTCATGGTATCGAGCAGGTTCCCGAGTGGGAATACTGCCTAGGGCCCACCACGAACTTTTTTTTTCCTTCCCTGCCCAGAGCGCACTTAGCTCCTAACCCGAGTAGCACCTCGAGCCGCCTTAGTGGCCCCTATTGGCCGCCCTTACTGCCCCTCGAGCCGCCCTCTACGGCCTCGCTTAGGCCGCTACGGCCCCGCTACGGCCCCGCTTAGGCCCCGTCAACCCCGCTACGGCCCCGCTTAGGCTCCGCTACGGCCCCGCTACGGCCCCGCTACGGCCCCGTCGGCCCCGCTACGGCCCCGCTACGGCCCCGCTACGGCCCCGCTTAGGCCCCGTCGGCCCCGTCGGCCCCGCTACGGCCCCGTCGGCCCCGTCGACCCCGCTACGGCCCCGCTACGGCCCCGCTACGGCCCAGCTTAGGCCCCGCTACGGCCCCGCTACGGCCCCGCTACGGCCCCGTCGGCCCCGTCGGCCCCGCTTAGGCCCCGTCGGCCCCGTCGCGGCCCCGCTCAGGCCTCGCTTCGGCCCCGTCGGCCCCGCTTAGGCCCCGCTGCGGCCCCGCTTCGGCCCCGTCGGCCCCTCTACGGCCCCACTTAGGCCCCGCTTCGGCCCCGTCGGCCCCGCTACGGCCCCGCTTAGGCCCCGCTACGGCCCCGCTACGGCCCCGCTACGGCCCCGTCGGCCCCGTCGGCCCCGCTTAGGCCCCGTCGGCCCCGTCGCGGCCCCGCTCAGGCCTCGCTTCGGCCCCGTCGGCCCCGCTTAGGCCCCGCTGCGGCCCCCCTACGGCCCCGCTACGGCCCCATCGCGGCCCCGCTTCGGCCGCGTCGGCCCCTCTACGGCCCCACTTAGGCCCCGCTTCGGCCCCGTCGGCCCCACTACGGCCCCGCTTAGGCCCCGCTACGGCCCCGTCGCGGCCCCGCTACGTCGCCCACTTCGGCCCCGTCGCCACCGCGGCCCCGCCCACCCTTGCGGCCCGCCGCCACCTGCGACCTCGCCACCACCTGCGACCCCGCCTCCCAGCGCCCGCAGCGCCGAGCAGCCGAACCGCCGGCCACCTGAGCCGCCCGACCGCCCGAGCCGCCCAGCAGCCGAGCCGCCCGACAGCCGAGCCGCCCAGCACCGTGCAGCCGAGCCGCCCAGCAGCCGAGCCGCCCAGCAGCCGAGCCGCCCTGCAGCCGAGTCGCCCGACAGCCGAGCTGCCGAGCAGCCCGATCGCTCCACCTACCTGGTAAGAGCACAGTCTCTGCCACTGCACTGCCCTGCCTCCTGCTGTTATGGCTTCCCCTAGCGTTCTCACCTTTGACGCTGAGGGTCGGGCAGTGGACTTTGAGGTCTGGGTAGATGATCTGCAGCTTTTCCTGCAGTGCGATAGGGCAGACGGCCTCTCCCTGTTTGACCTCACTTCAGGTGCCTCCCCTGCCCCTGCTGCTGATGCTGACGCCACTGTTCGCTCACAGTGGGCCACACGTGACGCTGCTCCTCGCCTTGCTGTGCGCCGCCACTTACCGACCACTGAGCGTGCACACTTTAGCCAGTACAAGAGTGCTCAGACCTTGTACGACGCTGTAGTTGCACGCTACTCTTCCCCTGCCACTGCTGCACTGAGCCGCCTCATGCTACCGTACCTCTTCCCGGACCTTGCTGCCTTTCCCACTGTCGCTGACCTCATTACGCACCTCCGCACTAGTGACACTCACTACCGCGCTGCGCTTCCTGCTGAGTTCTGCGCCAAGAACCCCCCCCCCCCCATGTACATCACCCTCTACTACATAGTCACCCGTCTCCCTGACTCTCTCCGTGTAGACAGGGACCACTTCCTCTCTGTTTGCCCCACCACTCTCACCGTTGACCTCCTCGAGAAGGCCCTCCTAGCGATAGAGAAGAGCATAGTCGCTGTAGGAGCCTCTCTTGGTGACCCTCGCACCCCCGTCTTTGAGGGGTGTTCTCCCTCCCCCCTCTTGCCCTCTGTTGCCTCTGCTGCTGCGGCCGACCTCGTTGGTTTCGAGTCGGTCGGCGCTGCGTCTGCCCCGAGCGGGAGACGCCGCACCGGCAAGGGCAAGGGGGGCAAGGGCACTGGAGGAGGTGGAGGGGGTGGTGGAGGTGGTGGTGGAGGCGGTGGAGGGAGTGGGGGTGGTGGTGGGAGTGGTGCTGGGGGTGGCGGTGGCGGCGGCAGCAGTGGAGGCGGCGGATGCGGTGGAGGTGGCGGAGGGAGCGGAGGCGGCGGAGGTAGTGGAGGAGGCGGAGGTGGAGGAGGCGGCGGAGGCGGCGGAGGCGGCGGCGGCGGCGGAGGCGGCGGTGGTGGAGCGAGTCGCGACTCTGCGCCGAGGAGTGGCGCCGGTGGTGGTCAGCGCCAGCAGCAGCAGCGGAGTGGTGTGACCCCGTCCCCTCAGCAGCTTCGTGAGTGGTACACAGCACGCCAGCGCGGTGGGGGTTTTGGTCCCTGCTATTACGTTCTCCGTACCGGCGACCGCACTGGTGAGCAGTGCGGAGGTCCGCACTCCACCCAGCGCTGCTTTGGTCGCCCGACGGACGCGTGGCGTCGCCAGTTCCCTGAGGCGTCAGAGATCCCTCGCTGGGGAGATCTGGCTAAGGCCAGGATTGCTATCTTTGATCTTGACTTTGATGCTATTCTTGCTGCCATGTATGCTGTTGCTGATAGTGTTGAGGGTGCCTGTCACCTGTGTGTACCGCCTGACCCGGGCATTGAGGCTGCTGCGCTAGGTGCTAGTGAGACTGCTGCTCTAGGTGCTAGTGCGTCTGCTGCCCCAGGTGCCAGTGCGTCTGCTGCCCCAGGTGCTGGTGAGTCTGCTCTCTCAGGTACTACGTCGGCTCAGGCCTTCCACACCTTCACCCTGGACTCGGGTGCGTCCCGCTCCTTCTTTCGAAACCGCACCACTCTTACGCCGCTTAGTCGGCCGGTTGCAGTCTCCCTGGCAGACCCCTCTGGGGGTCCTGTCCTTGCTAGCTTCTCCACTGTCCTTCCGTGCCCTGCAGCCCCCTCTGGCACCATGTCTGGTCTCTACCTCCCCTCGTTCTCTACGAACTTGGTGAGTGGAGCGGACCTATAGGATCGAGGGGTTGACCAGTTCA